AGACAGACAGAGACAGACAGACAGACACAGACAGACAGACACAGACAGACAGACAGACAGACACAGACAGACAGACACAGACAGACAGACACAGACAGACAGACACAGACAGACACAGACAGACACAGACAGACAGACAGACACAGACAGACAGACACAGACAGACAGACACAGACAGATAGACACAGACAGACAGACACAGACAGACACAGACAGACAGACACAGACAGACAGACACAGACAGACAGACAGACACAGACAGATAGACACAGACAGACAGACACAGACAGACACAGACAGACAGACACAGACAGACACAGACAGACACAGACAGACAGACAGGACAGACAGACAGACAGACAGACAGACAGACAGACGGCAGCAGAGAGGCAGAAAGAGAGACACAGATAGACAGATGGAGAGTAAAATGCGGAGGACGAGGGTTTGCCGTGTGTTTGGGGCGAAAGCTTAGACAACGTTCCTCACTGCACACGTCTCGGTTTCACTGAAGCAGTAAATAGGAAACCAGTTGTCAATCACTTTGTGGATTGAGGTCATAATCCCTTCAAAAAAATTAATAATTTGGGCACTGAATCCACGGCTGTTTGTGGGCACTCACCGCTGTGCGCCATTGGCTGCCGCGTTTCACCCACAATTCACTTTTACAGTGTATTCTGTGAAGCGATTTGAGACGTCTCAAAGACACGACGAGACCTGTGTCCAACACCACGAGTATTATTATTATAAGGCACAGACTGTGCTTTCCTCCACATGACTCCTCCTCACCTGCTCTGGGCCTGGAGCCCGGGGGGGGGGTACCGGCCAACACCGCACAGACCACCCGGAGATGTGTGTCCAATGTCACCACAACGTGCACTGAGTATCAGCTCAATCAGCTGTCAGAGCGAGACACACACACAGAGACACACACACACACAGAGCGAGACACACACACACACAGAGACACACACACACAGAGACACACACACACACAGAGCGAGACACACACACACACAGAGACACACACACACAGAGCGAGACACACACACAGAGACACACACACACACAGAGCGAGACACACACACACACAGAGACACACACACACAGAGACACACACACAGAGCGAGACACACACACACACACAGAGCGAGACACACACACAGAGCGAGACACACACACACACAGAGCGAGACACACACACACAGAGCGAGACACACACACACACAGAGCGAGACACACACACACACAGAGACACACACACACACACAGAGCGAGACACACACACAGAGCGAGACACACACACACACAGAGCGAGACACACACACAGAGCGAGACACACACACAGAGCGAGACACACACACACACAGAGACACACACACAGAGCGAGACACACACACACACAGAGCGAGACACACACACAGAGACAGAGACACACACAGAGCTCAGTCTCTCCGCTGCGCTATTTCCGCAAACGCCCTGAAAAACACCGAGTGCAGATCTCATGTGTAACCCTATCATTGCCAAAACACATTGAGCAGCTGATCTGCTGCAAACTGCCTGTAAAAGGGCCTCTCACAACACACAGTGTTCAGAGCAACACACACACACACAGTGTCCAGAGCACAGACACACACACACTGTGTCCAGGGCACAGACACACACACACACTGTGTCCAGAGCACAGACACACACACACACAGTGTCCAGAGCACAGACACACACACACACTGTGTCCAGGGCACAGACACACACACACACACTGTGTCCAGGGCACAGACACACACACACACTGTGTCCAGAGCACAGACACACACACACACTGTGTCCAGAGCACAGACACACACACACACTGTGTCCAGGGCACAGACACACACACACACACACTGTGTCCAGGGCACAGACACACACACACACTGTGTCCAGGGCACAGACACACACACACACACACTGTGTCCAGAGCACAGACACACACACACACTGTGTCCAGAGCGCGTTCACACACACACTGTGTCCAGGGCACAGACACACACACACACACTGTGTCAGAGCACAGACACACACACACACTGTGTCCAGAGCACAGACACACACACACACAGTGTCCAGAGCACAGACACACACACACACTGTGTCCAGAGCACAGACACACACACACACTGTGTCCAGGGCACAGACACACACACACACACACTGTGTCCAGGGCACAGACACACACACACACTGTGTCCAGAGCACAGACACACACACACACTGTGTCCAGAGCACAGACACACACACACACACTGTGTCAGACACACACACACACACACTGTGTCAGACACACACACACACACACACTGTGTCAGACACACACACACACACACTGTGTCCAGACACACACCACACACACACACTGTCCAGAGCGCGTTCACACACACACTGTGTCCAGGGCACAGACACACACACACACACACTGTGTCCAGAGCACAGACACACACACACACTGTGTCCAGAGCACAGACACACACACACACACACACATACACACACACATTGTGTTCATTGTGTCCCCCCACACACACACACTGGAAACCAGGGCACACTCACACACTTCTATATAGTCTGATATTAACAATGACATCTCTACATAATTGGTGGCCAACCTGTTTGGGCAGCCATCCAAATATATTTTCTTGCTTAAGTATTTCTGTATTGATGACTGCACCATCAACATCACCGCTCAGCAGCTACTGGAAAAAGACATTGGTGTAAAACAGACCGGCCTTGGCCAGTGCCAATGTCTGGAGGCCGCTTCCAGTGGGCGACGGTTCTATGTCATCTGATGAACCCAATGTGCTAACATTGGTGGAACGAGTGCTCAAATCTTTGTAGCCCTTGAATGTGTCCTCCCGACATGTAGGCACTGCACACACGTAATTGTTGTTGTCAGTACCAGAATGAATGACTGACCTTTCCCCAGAAAACAAAAATGACATTTACAGTGTCTTTACGTCAGGAGGATGTCCCACTGGGCAGTCAAAGATTTGGACCCGAGCTGGCGATTGGGATTAGGAGGGGTGGAGGCAGGGAGGTTGGGGGGGGGGGGAAGCCAGTGGCCAAAAGCTCGGTCAAAGAGTGTTTTGAGACGGGCCTTGAAGGAGGCGAGGGAGGGGGGGGGTGAGGTGAAGGGACTGCGGGAGAGGGTTCCAGAAGGTGGAGCTAAGACGCTGATGGGGGGGCAGAGAGGCTGATGGTGGGGGGGGGGCAGACAGGCTGATGGGGGGGCAGAGAGGCTGATGGTGGGGGGGGGGGCAGACAGGCTGATGGTGGGGGCAGACAGGCTGATGGTGGGGGGGGGGGCCAGGGCTCCCTCTGCCTCCTCGTCCTCCTCGACCTCTCCATCGCGTTTGACACCGTGGACCACTCAATCCTCCTCCACCGCCTCTACTCCCATCTCAACCTTCAAGGCCCTGTCCTTGAGTGGTTCAGGTCCTCCCTTTCACATCACCTCCACTTCGTCGCGGCAAACGGCTTTTCCTCCACCGCCCGCACTGTCTCGTGCGGTGTCCCTCAGGGCTCTGTCCTCGGTCCCCTCCTCTTCACCCTCTATATGCTCCCCCTGTGGTGACATCATCCGCAGACATGGGGTTCACTCCCACATGTGTGCGGATGACACCCAACTCTACCTTTCCTCCTCTACCCTCAACTCCACGACCCCCGATGTCCTGACAGCTGTCTGTCCGACATCGAGTCCTGGACGAGAGACAACTTTCTTCAGCTCAACGTGCGCAAAACTGAGGCCCTCCTGATTGGCTCACGTCAGCGCCTCCGCACCTCAGGCGCTGACACCATCAGCGCCGCACTCTCCACCTCTCAAAGCCATCAGGAACCTCGGGGTTCCCCTCGACCCTGAGCTGTCCTTTCTCCCTCATATCCGCACCACAACCGGCACCGCCTTCCATCACCTCCGGAACATCGCCAGAGACTACGGCACTACCTCACCCCTCACGCGGCTGAAACTCTGGTCCACACCTTTATCACCTCAAGGCGGACTATGGGAACTCTCTCCTCGCCGGCCTTCCCGGCCCTCCCTCCACACTGCAGGTCATTCAGAACTCTGCAGCTCGTGTACTGTCCCGCACCAGACACCGCGACCACATCACTCCCACCCTCGCCCTCACCCTCACCCTCGCCCTCACCCTCGCCCTCGCCCTCACTCCCACCCTCACCCTCGCCCTCACTCGCCTCCACTGGCTCCCCATCCCCCAGAGGATCGAATTCAAGATCCTCATCCTCACCTACAAGGCCATTCCCGGCCTCGCTCCCTCCTACCTCTCCGACCTACTATCCCCCACTCACCTGCCCGTACCCTCCGTTCCTCTGGCTCCGGTCTGCTCCACGTCCCCCGCCCCAACCGCCCACCATCGGTGGCCTTCAGCCTCTCAGCCCCGAGGCTCTGGAACTCCATCCCCAGTGCCTTCGCCGCTTCCTCCCTTTCCTCCTTCAAGACCTTTCTCTTTGACCTTCAACCTTCAGCTCCGCTCTCGACTCTCTACCCCCTCCTCGCTCCCTCCCTTCCCTCCCCCTGACCATTTCCCCCCTCCTCGCTCCTTCCCTTCCCTCCCCTCACCCTGACCATCTCCCCCCTCCTCGCTCCCTCTCTTCTCTTCCCTCCCCTCACCCTGACCATTTGCCCCCAATGCTCGGGTCCTGACCCAACTGTACAGCGCCTTGGGACGTCCTCCCAATGTGAAAGACGCTCTATAAATGGAATCTTGTTGTTGCTGTTGTTGTGGTGGGGGGGCTGGTGGTGGGGGTGCTGGTGGGAGGGGGGCTAACGGGCTGGCGGTGGGGGGCTGGTGGGGGTCTCATGGTGGGGGGTGGGTAGGGGGGCTGGTGTGGGGGGGGCTGGGGGGGGGGGCGCGTGTGGGGTGGCTGGTGTGGGGGGGAGCTGGGGGGGGGGGAGCTGGTGGGGGGGGCTGGTGGGGGGGGGTACTAACAGGGCAGCACATACACAACAGTTTATAATTTCAATCTTTTATTAGTAAAACACCAGTTTGCGCTTTGCAAAGCGTATGCAGTAGAAGAGGAAAGTCGTGAGAGAGTTTGTGCGGTACACACGGGATGTGCTGTACATCCGCAGTCGGGGACACCTCGAGAGGAGTTCTAATGTCTGATGTCTCACATCAAAACAGTGAAAATAGAAAAACCTTTTTCTAAGATTTGATATTTTTTGATTTGATAAAAGTTTCTTATCGCGTCTTCAAGACGTCCCAAACAATATACTGGAAAAAATAGTGAGTGTGTATTTTGTGGGCGAAACGTGGCAGCGAACTGTGCACAAGTGTCCACACACTCCTCGGTTGGGTTGAGTGACCACATTGTTATCACAGTGAGGGGAGGAACTAGTTTTTATACACAAAAGATCCACAAAGTGCTTCATACACGCGATCAGCAAAGATAGAGAGGATGACACCAGCCGCCGGGTTTATTACACACACGGCTCAGCGAGTGGGGGAAAGCTCCGTCAGACCGTACCTGTTTCCGTGTGGATGTGATGCTCTGCTTTACCCAGACACAGCCCCCCACCCCCCCCACCCCACTATTACCCCCCACGTTCCCTCACCCACACGTTGCCCTGGTGTCTTAGTGGCTCAGATGAGGAAGATGATGAGATCAGACACCATGATCTGGTTGTCCTCCTGCATCTTGGCCAGGGCGCTCCTCACCTCGGCCTGGGAGAAGGCTGCCGGGCTCTGGCTGTCGGCATTGATGGCCGTCATTAATGCCTCCATCCCAATGGCCTGTGTGTGTGCAGCCTGGAAAGCCTGGAGCAGCGCGGCCCGGAACTGCCCCAACCTGTGTGATATACAGCGCCATCAGCCAGCAGCCCCCCCGGTAATCCCCACCCCGGTAATCCCCACCCCGGTAACCCCCCGCCCAACACCCCCCCCGGTAACCCCCCGCCCAACACCACCCCCGGTAACCCCCAGCCCAACACCCTCCCTCCGGTAACCCCCCGTCCAACACCCCCCCCCCCCGGTAACCCCCAACACCCCCCCCCGGTACCCCCCCCCGTAACCCCCGCCCAACACCCCACCCCTGGTAACCAGCTCCTCCCCCTGTGCCAGCCAATCCTGTCCGCCCGCCCGGCCCAGCGCACACTCACCTCTGCTCACTTAGCTCAGCCGTCACGGTGCCCCGACTGTCCTCACCCTCCTGTGTGTGCGGGGACTTGTGAGCAGGAGCTGGGCCTCGGCACAGAGAGAGAGAGAGAGAGAGAAACGTCATCCTCTGAGCACAACAGGGCCCAGCCCAGGGGCATCCAAACCACCCCATACTGTGCCAGCCCAGGGGCATCCAAACCACCCCATACTGTGCCAGCCCAGCTCCCAGTGCCAGCCCAGCCACAGTGCCAGCCCCCAGCCTCCAGTGCCAGCCTCCAGTGCCAGCCCAGACCCCTGTGCCAGCCCAGACCCGAGTGCCAGCCCAGCCCCCAGGGCCAGCCCCAGCCCAGCCACCAGCGCCAGCCCCAGTGCCAGCCCAGCCCCACGCCAGCCCCAGCCCAGCGCCAGCCCCAGCCCAGCGCCAGCCCCCAGCGCCAGCCAGCGCCAGCCCCAGTGCCAGCCCAGCCCCCAGCGCCAGCCCCAGCCCAGCGCCAGCCCCCAGCGCAGCCCCAGCGCCAGCCACCAGCCCAGTGCCAGGCCAGCCCCCAGCGCCAAGCCCAGCCCCACGCCAACCAGCCCCAGTGTCAGCCCAGCCCCCAGTGCCAGCCTCAGCCAGCTCCCCCAGTGCCAGCCCCCACCCCCAGTGCCAGCCCCAGCCCCATTCGCTAGTCACTACATTTACCGTCAGGCATGTCCCTCTCAGTGTCACTGAAGTCATAGGGATCAGATTCCATGCCCTCCTGTGACTCCCGCCGTGGCCTCTTGCCCTCAGTGTCTGTGGAGTGAGATTTCCTCCTGTGAGGAACGCAGTAAAGCAGTGATTAGCCACAGACCGGCTCGTCCTCCTTGGCAACCAATGAGCCGTCACCCCCCCCACACACACGTCTCCTCCACACACACACGTCTCCTCTACATGTGTGGCCACGAGAGGCCAAACACTGTCACTCACTGACCAGTGACTGCCATGTTATAATAACTTGAAAAAGCGCTATATCAAATGCAAAGATTATTATAATAAGTTGGTAATAATCATTGCTATCATAATAATAAGATTTTTATGTGGCGCTGTTCTGGCAAAGATAGGGTTTGTAAAGACAGACAGCAGATAGACAGATAGAGATATAATAATAATCCTTGCATTTAATATAGCACCTTATCACGTCTTCAGGATGTCTCAAAGCTCTTCACAGAATATTCTGTAAAGTGTAGTGACAGTATATTTTGCACACAGCAGTGTCATACAAACAGTCTTAGGTTGAGTGATCAAATTATTATTATTATTTATTTTTTTGAAGAAATTTTTACGCCCGGAAAGTGATAATAATCCTTGTATTTGATATAGCGCTTTTCACGTCTTCTCAACGTCTCAAAGCGCTTCACAGAATATACTGTAAAGTGAATTGACTGTATATTTGTGGGCGAACGCGGCAGCCAATTGGCACAAACAGTCGTGGATTGAAAATGACCAATTTATTATTGTTTTTGGTTTTGGAGGATTATTATTAGGCTCTGTGTGGAGTAAGGAAACTTGCCCAAGGTTTGGCCCTGACCCCCCGGGGATTGAACTCGGGTCTCTCGCTCGCAAAGCGAGTGCTCTAACCACTGAGCTACAGGATTCACCAATCAACTACCAACTGGGTTTCCACTTACTGCTGGTAAACAGAGGCGTGTGGGGGTGTCATTAATGTGGGCAGTGGGGTGGGGGGGTCAGTGACTGTCACTAGCGTGGGCAGTGGGGGGGGGGGGAGGGGTCAGTGACTGTCATTAAAGTGGCAGTGGGGGGTCAGTGACTGTCATTAACGTGGCAGTGGGGGGGAGTCAGTGACTGTCACTAGCGTGGGCAGTTGGGGGGTCAGTGACTGTCACTAGGGTGGGCAATGGGGGGTCAGTGACTGTCACTAGGGTGGGCCGTGGGGGGTCAGTGACTGTCACTAGGGTGGGCAGTGGGGGCTCAGTGACTGTCACTAGGGTGGGCAGTGGGGAGTCAGTGACTGTCACTAGGGTGGGCAATGGGGGGTCAGTGACTGTCACTAGGGTGGGCAGTGGGGGGTCAGTGACTGTCACTAACGTGGGCAGTGGGGTCTCAGTGACTGTCACTAGTTGGGCAGTGGGGGGTCAGTGACTGTCATTAACTTGGCAGTGGGGGGTCAGTGACTGTCACTAGGGTGGGCAGTGGGGGGTCAGTGACTGTCACTAAGGTGGGCAGTGGGGGGTCAGTGACTGTCACTAGTGTGGGCAGTGACGGTGGTGGGGGGCGCGGGTGGAGTGGGGTTGCGGGAGGTGGATGGGGACAGAGCGACGAGGCTTTGGGGAGAGGATGAAATTGGAGGTCAGTAAAGCTGTCAGCGCGACCCGAGGCCTCACTCACCTCTTGTGGCCATCTTCCTCGTCCTCCCTCTCCTCCTCCTCCCTCTCCTCCTCCCTCTCCTCCCGTCGCTTCTTCTCTCTCTCCAACACCTGCATAGAGCAGCCAGCACAAGGCAGTCAGTCACTACACGCACAGCCAGCCAGTCACTACACGCACAGCCAGCACAAGGCAGTCAGTCACTACACGCACAGCCGGCACAAGGCAGTCAGTCACTACACGCACAGCCAGCACAAGGCAGTCAGTCACTACACGCACAGCCAGCACAAGGCAGTCAGTCACTACACGCACAGCCGGCACAAGGCAGTCAGTCACTACACGCACAGCCAGCACAAGGCAGTCAGTCACTACACGCACAGCCGGCACAAGGCAGTCAGTCACTACACGCACAGCCGGCACAAGGCAGTCAGTCACTACACGCACAGCCAGCACAAGGCAGTCAGTCACTACACGCACAGCCGGCACAAGGCAGTCACTGCACAAAACTTCCCCTTCACAAAGGTCAGTGTCACACACACAAACACACACACGCACAGCCACGCACACGGACACACAGACACAAACACGTACCTTCTTGAAGTAGGCGAAGTGGACGAGCCTCACTGCGGCCTCCGTGTCCGGCAGCTCAATGGCTTTGCTCATCCGGGCCTTGGCGTGTGCCGTGGACAGGCGGATCAGTGTCTCCAGTGTGCGGGCTGTGACCGGAGCTGTCTGCACCCAGAGAACAACACGCTAGTTTCACACAATGCTAACAAGTAACAAAACACGGTAATGTCACACAACATGCTAGCGAGTCACACAACACACTAACCAGTCACATAACACATTATTGAGCCACGCAACACGCTAACCAACCTCACAACAGGTTATGCCATACAAAACGCGAGCCACCACACAACACGCGGGCGGGAGACATGGAGCAGGCGGAATGGAGGGAGTGGGCAGGTTGGTAGGGAGTCAGCAGGTCAGAGAGGTCGGAAGGGGCAAGTCCATGGATGGCCAGGAAAGTGAGGACCAGGATCTTGAACTCGATCCTCTGGGGGATGGGGAGCCAGTGGTGGGTGTGATGGGGTCGGGCGTGCGTGGGGGTGATGGGGTCGGGCGAGGGTGGGGGTGATGGGGTCGGGCGAGGGTGGGAGTGATGGGTCGGGCGAGGGTGGGGTGATAGGGTTGGGCGAGGGTGATGGGGTCGGGCGAGGTGGGGGTGATGGGTCGGGCGAGGGTGGGGGTGATGGGGTCGGGCGAGGTGGGGTGATGGGGTCGGGCGAGGGTGGGGGTGATGGGGTCGGGCGAGGTGGGAGTGATGGGGTCGGGCGAGGGTGGGGTGATGGGGTCGGGCGTGGGTGGGTGTGATGGGTCGGGAGAGGGTGGAGTGATGGGGTCGGGCGAGGGTGGGTGTGATGGGGTCGGGCGGGTGGGGTGATGGGTCGGCGAGGTGGGTGTGATGGGCTCGGGTGAGGGTGGGGGTGATGGTGTCGGGCGAGGCTGGGAGTGATGGGGTCGGGCGAGGGTGGGAGTGATAAGGTTGGGCGAGGGTGAGGGTGATGGGGTTGGGCGAGGGTGGGAGTGATGGGGTCGGGCGAGGGTGGGAGTGATAAGGTTGGGCGAGAGTGAGGGTGATGGTGTCGGGCGAGGGTGGGAGTGATAAGGTTGGGCGAGGGTGGGAGTGATGGGGTCGGGCGAGGGTGGGAGTGATGGGGTCGGGGAGTCTGGTGCGTGAGAGTACATGAGCTGCAGAGTTTCGGACGATCTGCAGGATGTGAAGGGAAGAGGTGGGAAGGCCGATGAGGAAGGAGTTCCCATAATCGAGCCTTGAGGTGACGAGTGCGTGAATGAGGGTTTGGGGGCCTGAGGGGTGAGGCAGTGGTGGAGTCTGGCAGCGTTGCGGAGGTGGTGGTAGGCAGTGCCAGTCATTGTGCGGATGTGGGGGAGAAAGGACGGTTCACGGTCAAACAGGACCCCCAGGTTCCTGACTGGCTCAGAGGTTGAGTGTGCAGGTGTGGAGGCTAATGCTGCCAGTGCCCGAGGTGCGGAGGCGCTGGCGCGAACCAATCAGGAGGGCCTCGGTCTTGCTGACGTTCAGCTGGAGAAAGTTGTCCCTCGTCCAACAACAACAACAACATGATTGCATTTATAGAGCGCCTTTCACATCGGGAGGACGTCCAAAGGCGCTGGACAGTTAGGTCGGGATCCGAGCAAGGGGGCGAAATGGTCAAGGTGAGGGGAGGCGAGGGAGGGAGGGAGCGAGGAGGGTGAAATGCTTAGGGTGAGGGGAGGGAAGGGAGGGAGCGAGGAGGGGGGAAATGGTAAGGGTGAGGGGAGGCGACGGAGGGAGCGAGGAGGGGGAAATGGTCAGGGTGAGGGGAGGGAAGGGAGGGAGCGAGGAGGGGGTAGAGAGTCGAGAGGGGAGCTGAAGGTACAGTCAAAGAGAAAGGTCTTGAGACCGGCCTTGAAGGAGGAAAGGGAGGAAGCGGCGAAGGCACTGGGGATAGAGTTCCAGAGCCTCGGGGCTGAGAGGCTGAAGGCCACCGATGGTAGGGGGTTGGGGCGGGGGATGTGGAGCAGACCGGAGCCGAGGAACGGAGGGTACGGGCAGGTAGTAGGGGGATAGTAGGTCGGAGAGGTAGGAGGGAGCGAGGCCGTGAATGGCCTTGTAGGTGAGGATGAGGATCTTGAATTGGATCCTCTGGGGGATGGGGAGCCAGTGGAGGTGAGTGAGGGCGAGGGTGAGGGTGGGAGTGAGGGCGAGGGTGAGGGCGAGGGTGGGAGTGATGTGGTCGTGGTGTCTGGTGGGGGACAGTACACGAGCTGCAGAGTTCTGATGACCTGCAGTGTGGAGGGAGGGCCGGGAAGGCCGGCGAGGAGAGAGGTCCCATAGTCCAGCCTTGAGGTGATAAAGGCGTGGACCAGAGTGTCAGCCGCGTGAGGGGTGAGGTAGTGCCGTAGTCTGGCGATGTTCCGGAGGTGATGGAAGGCGGTGCCAGTTGTGGTGCGGATATGAGGGAGAAAGGACAGCTCAGGGTCGAGAACCCGAGGTTCCTGATGGCTTTGAGAGGTGGAGAGTGCGGCCTTGGATGCTGATGCTGTCAGCGCCTGAGGTGCGGAGGCGCTGACGTGAGCCAATCAGGAGGGCCTCAGTTTTGCGCACGTTGAGCTGAAGAAAGTTGTCTCTCGTCCAGGACTCGATGTCGGACAGACAGCTGTCAGGACATCGGGGGTCGTGGAGTTGAGGGTAGAGGAGGAATGGTAGAGTTGGGTGTCATCCGCACACATGTGGGAGTTAACCCCATGTCTGCAGATGATGTCACCACAGGGGGAGCATATAGAGGGTGAAGAGGAGGGGACCGAGGACAGAGCCCTGAGGGACACCACACGAGACATAGTGAAGATGGTGGGAGAGGTACGACCTAAACCACTCAAGGACAGGGCCTTGAAGGTTGAGGTGGGAGGAGAGGCGGTGGAGGAGGATTGAGTGGTCCACGGTGTCAAACGCGACGGAGAGGTCGAGGAGGACGAGGAGGCAGAGGGAGCCCTGGTCACACATGGTCAGAATGTCGTTTGTGACCTTGTCCATAGCAGTTTTCGTGCTGTGGGCAGCACAGAAACTCGATTGGAGGGGTTCATGGAGGGAGTGAGAGGAAAGAGTGAAGCTGGGAGGCAACGGCTCTCTCAAGGACCTTAGACAGGAAAGGGAGGTAGGGGATGAGCCGGTAGCTGGATAGCTGTGATGGGCCAAGGGAAGGTTTCTTCAAGGTGGGGTGATAGTGGCTGTTTTGAGAGGGTAGGAATAGTGCCAGATGACAGGGAGAGGTTGATGATGTCAGCGAGTAGTGGGTCAAGGAGGAGGAGCTGGGATTTAAGGAGAGGGGTGGGGATGGGGTCCAGGGAGCAGGTGGCAGGTGTCACACACAGACAGAGGGAGACACACACACACACAGCAGAGAAAGAGACACACAGAGAGAGGCACCACACACACAGAGAAATAGGCGCACACACACACACACACAGACAGACACACAGACAGACACACAGACACACAGACAGACACACACCCGAGCGCCCTGGGCAGCGGCCAGGTCTTGGCTCCGCAGCCTGGTATACTCCTCTGCAATGTGAGCTGCTGCTGTGGCGGTCAGCACCGGCTTCAGCAGTCGGGCCACATGGATGTACTTGCGCATGAACTCCATGCTGACCAGCTTCTCCCTGCAACCAACCACACAGGGGCATTACCCCACAAGGCCACCCCACCCCCACCACCCCCACAGCCACACCACCCCCACCCCACAGCCACACCACCCCACACAACCCCACCCACAGCCACACCACCCCACCATCCCCACCCCACAGCCACACCACCGCCAACCCCACCCCACACCCCCACCATCCCCACCCCCACAGGCACACCACCGCCAACCCCACCCACACCACACCACCCCCACCATCCCCACCCCCACAGCCCACCACCCCACCCCAAGCCACACCACCCCCACACAACCCCCACCCCCACAGCCACACCACCCCCACAGCCACACCACCACCACCACCCCACACCCCACCACCCCCACCCACCCCCACCATCCCCACCCACAGCCACACCACCCCCAGAGCCACACCAGGGGGCAGGGCTGGGGGGGGGGCAGGGCTGGGGGGGGGGAGCTCACACGCTCAGCATTTACTTGCGTCTCTTGGCCCCGTGCAGAAGGCTGTTGTGCTTCTCGTAGATCTGCAGTTGCTGCTCCTCGTCCTGGACACTGTCTGGGTCCTCGGTGGTCAGGACATCGACCGTACTCCCCAAGGGCAAGGCTGGGACACAGCAGCACAAGCTCAGCCCCCACCTCACGGTCCAGCCCCCAACCTCCCTGCCATACCCCCCACCTCCCAGCCCTCTCCCCACCTCCGAGCCCTCCCCCCACCTCCCAGCCCTCCCCCCACCTCCCTGCCCTCCATCAGGGGGGCAGTGAGTTGGGAGTGAGGGGGTGTCAGGGTGAGGGGGTTCAGGATGAGGGGGGCAGTGAGTGGGGGTGAGGGAGTGTCAGGGTGAGGGGGGCAGTGAGTGGGAGTGAGGGGGTGTCAGGGTGAGGGGGGCAGAGTGAGGAGGGTTGAGGGTGTGCTTACCATCACCGTCCTGCTCCCCAGGGCCACGGTAGCGGTGCATACGCAGCACGTGCTCAGACACAGCGCGGTCCTGCTCAGGCTCCATGGTGTCCAACATGATGAACAGCAGATCAAAGCGGGACAACAGCGAGTCCTGCAGCCCAATGTTCTCCATCGGTGTCTTATACTGGTCATACTGTAACAGGCAGTAGGTGTGTCAGTGGGTCATACTGTAACAGGCAGTCGGTGTGTCAGTGGGTCACACTGTAACAGGCAGTCGGTGTGTAGTGGGTCACAGTGTAACAGGCAGTCGGTGTGTAGTGGGTTACACTGTAACAGGCAGTCGGTGTGTAGTGGGTCAGTGTAACAGGCAGTCGGTGTTTAGTGGGTCACAGTGTAACAGGCAGTCAGTCGGTGTGTCAGTGGGTCAGTGTAACAGGCAGTCGGTGTGTAGTGGGTCACAGTGTAACAGGCAGTCGGTGTGTAGTGGGTCACAGTGTAACAGGCAGTCGGTGTGTAGTGGGTCACACTGTAACAGGCAGTCGGTGTGTAGTGGGTCAGTGTAACAGGCAGTCGGTATGTAGTGGGTCACAGTGTAACAGGCAGTCAGTCGGTGTGTAGTGGGTCAGTGTAACAGGCAGTCGGTGTGTAGTGGGTTACACTATAACAGGCAGTCGGTGTGTAGTGGGTCATACTGTAACAGGCAGTCGGTGTGTAGTGGGTCACACTGTAACAGGCAGTTGGTGCGTTAGTGTCAGTGTGGGCAACGCTCACACACAACTGGCATTGATGTAGCACGTCAAACACATGCACCAGCCCCCGCCCCACACCAACCCACACAAACACACATTTCCCCCCCGCACATCAGCCTCCTCACACAACCAACCTCCCGCCTCCTCCCACACACATACCGCTCCGCACCACCCCCACGCCCCACACACACCTTGCCGTACACAGGGTTAGCAGCAGCGAGCACACTACATCTGGCGTTGAGCCTGGCATGGATGCCGGCCTTGGCGATGGTCACACGGCCCTGCTCCATCACCTCGTGGATGGCTGTACGGTCGAGGTCAGACATCTTATCAAACTCGTCAATACAGACAACTCCTCTGTCCCCCAACACCATAGCCCCAGCCTCCAGTCTGCGCTCACCTGGGAACAGCATAGTCATTGATTACATTATATACACATTATATATAGTCATTGATTTTATTTCATACAGTCTTTTTACCACATTATTATAACAGGAAACAAAAAAAGGAGGGTGGTAGCAATATTGACACGGTTATGGCCCAGGAAAGGGACGATGTGTAAGAGGGTCCAAAACCAGAATCCATTTGGTTGGAGGTAAGGAGCAGAAAAGGAGCTGTTACTCTGTTTACTACAGACCACCGAGTAGTGGGAAGGAGATAGATGAGCAAATCTGCAAAATGAGTAGTGATAATGGGGGACTTCAACTATCCTCACATAGACTGGCAAAATAACAGGGTAAAGGGTAAGGAGGGGGTAGGATTCCTGAAATGTGTGCAGGAGAACTCTCTAGATCGGATTTTTTTTCCAGCCAAACAAGGAAGGAAGCAGAAATAAAGACAGAGAGAGCAGGGAAAACTCAGTAGGTCAGGCAGCATCTATGAAGAAAGGAAAGTGAGTCAACGATTCGGGTCCACAACCCTTCGTTCTTGTGGGGTTTTTTTGAAGGAAGGAAGCAGTGCTGGATCTAGTTCTGGGGAATGAAGTGGGGCAAGTGGAGCAGGTTTTAGTAGGAGTGAACAGTGATCACAACATCATTAGGTTTAGAGTATTTATGGACAGGGGCAAGGAACAATCAAAGGTGAAGATACTCACTGGAAGACGCTAATTTCAGTGAGTTAAAAAGGGACCTAGCCAAGGTGGATTGGAAAGAAAGGTTGGCAGGTAAAACAGCTGCCCGCAATTATCGCCCACAAATGTACGGTCACTTCACTTTACAGCATATTCTGTGAAGCGCTTTGAGACGTCTAGAAGACGTGAAAAGCACTATATCAAATGCAAGGATTATTATTATTATTAACGAGCAATGGGAAGCCTTCAAGGAGGAGATAGTTCGAGGACAAAACAAATACATTCTCACAAAGGGGAAAGGTAAGGCATCCAAACCACACTGGATGGATAAAGAAATTGGGATTAAAATAAACCAGAAAAGGGAGACTTATGATAAATGTCAGGTCCAAAATACAGAAGATAATCAAATAGAATATAGAAAGTACAGAGGAGAACTGAAAAAGGAAATAAGACGGGCAAAGAGATTGTATGAGAAAAGATTATCGGGGAACCCTAAAGTATTTCATAAGCATATAAAGAATAAAATGTTAGTTAAAGGTAGGGGTGGGACCAATTCGGGACCAAAGAGGAAATCCTCTTGTAGAGGCAGAGGGCATGGCTGACGTACTGAATGAGCACTTTGCATCTGTCTTCACAAAAGAAGAGGATGCAGCCAATGCCACAGTATTGGAGGAGAGGGGAGAGAATTTGGATAAGATAAGACTAAACCGAGAGGAGGTACCATACAGGTTGTCGCTCAGGGTAGGTAAGTCACCCGGTCCGGACGGATGCATCCTAGGTTACTGAGGAAAGTAAGGGTGGAAATAGCGGAGGCTCTGGTCACAATCTTTCAATCCTCCTTGGACATCAGGGTGGTGCCAGAGGACTGGAGGGTTGCAAATATACAAAAAGGGGCAAACGATAAACCCGGGAATACAGGCCAGTGCCTAACGTCAGTAGTGGGGAAACTTCTAGAGACTATAGTCCGGGACGAAATAAATTTTCACTTGGAAAAATATGGTTTAATAAAGGACAGTCAACACGGGTTTGTTAAAGGCAAATCGTGTCTAACAAACCTGATGATTTTTTGATGAAGTAACGGAGAGGGTGGATGAAGGGAGTGCAGTTGATGTCGTTTATATGGATTTTCAAAAGGCATTTGATAAAGTGACACATCAGAGACTTGTTAGCAAAACAGAAGCCCCCGGGATTAAAGGGACAGTGGCAGCGGATACAGAACTGTCTGGGAGACAGAAAGCACAGAGTGGTGGTTTTGTGACTGGAGGGAATTGAGCAGTGGTGTACCCCAGGGGTCGGTAATGCAGCTACTGCTGCTATAAAAATGACCTGGACTTGGGTATAGGGAGTACAATTTCCAAGTTTGCAGATGATACTAAGCTGGAAACGTAGTAAACAGTGAGGAGGATAGTAACAGATTGAAAATCATAGAATCATTCAGCACAGAAAGAGGCCATTTGGCCCATTGTGTCTGTGCCGGTTCCTCAAAGAGCTTCCAGCTCAGTCCCACTGGCCCGCTTTCTCTCCATAGCCCTGCAATCCTGTCCTCCAAAATACCCATCTACGTCTCTCTTAAAGTTTTTATTGAGCTTCCACTACCCTTTCAGGTAATGCATTCCACATCCCAACAACTCACTGGTGAAAACATTTCTCCTAACCTCCCCTCTGTTTCTTTTAACAACTATCTTTAAATCAGTGTCCTCGGGTTACTGACCCACCCGCCAGTGGAAACAGATTTTCCCGGTTCAACCTATCAAATCCTCTCACGATCTTGAAAACGTCTATTAAATCCCCTCTTAATCTTCTCTGCTCTCGGAAGAATAATCCTAGTTTTGCTAACCTCTCCTCATGACTAAGGTCCTTCATTCTTGGTACCATCCTGATAAACCTCCTGTGCGCCCTCTCCAATGCCCTAACATCTTTCCTAAAGTGCGGTGCCCAGAACTGAACGCAGTCTCCAACTGAGGCCTAATCAGCATTTTATAAATATTCAACATAACGTCCTGACTTGTGTATTCTATGCCTCTATGTATAAAGCCGAGTATCCCGGATGCTTTTTTACAGCATTATCTACCTGTCCGGCCACCTTCAGAGATTTGCTGATGTGGACCCCCAGGTCTCTCTGTTCATTTGCCCCCTTTAAGATTGTACCATCAGCTAATACTGCCTCTCCTCATTCTTCCAGGATAATCCTGGAGGCGAAGAACAACCACAGGCTTCTGATTTCTACCACATCCCGACTACTCCGTCCCCCCCGCCACCCTGCGCAGGTCATCTCCTCCAACCTTCACTGTGAGGAGATGCTGGATTTCCTTGAATCCAAAATCAAGGGAATCCGCTCCGCGGTCACTCCCCCTCCAACATCCACCCACCACCCACTCCCTCCCTCCCACACTCCGACTCCTACCCATCCTCCCCTACACACTTTCGTACCCGTTTCCCCACCCTCTGTCACCAAACTCATCCTGTCCCTGAAACCCACCACCTGCTCCCTTGACCCCACTCCACTCCTTATCTCCCAGCTCCACCTCTTTGCCCCACATATCACAGACATCGTCAACCTGTCCCTCAACTCTGGCTCCGTCCCCATTCCCTTAAAAACTGCCACCATCACTCCCACCTTGAAAAAACCCTCACAGCTATCAATCTCCGGCCCATCTCCAACCTCCCCTTCCTGTCCAAGGTCCTGGAACGAGTTGTGGCCTCCCAACTGCGCTCTTTCCTCTCCACCCATTCATTATTCAAACCCCTTCAGTCGGGTTTCCGTGCTGCCCATAGCACAGAAACTGCCCTGGTCAAGGTCACCAATGCCATCCTGACCATCTGTGACCAGGGCTCCCTCTGCCTCCTCGTCCTCCTCGACCTATCGGCCGCATTCGATACGGTCGACCACACTATCCTACTCCACCGCTTGTCCTCCCACCTCAACCTTCAAGGCCCTGTCCTTGAGTGGTTTAGGTCGTACCTCTCCCACCGTCTTCATTTTGTTTCCGCAAACGGCTTTTCCTCCACCGCCCGCACTGTCTCGTGCGGTGTCCCTCAGGGCTCTGTCCTCGGTCCCCTCTTCTTCACCCTCTATATGCTCCCCCTGTGGTGGCATCATCCGCAGACATGGGGTTAACTTCCACATGTATGCGGATGACACTCAACTCCACCTTTCCTCCTCTACCCTCAACTCCATGACCCCCGATGTCCTGACAGCTGTCTGTCCGACATCGAGTCCTGGACGAGAGACAACTTCTTCAGCTCAACGTGCGAAAACCTGAGGCCCTCCTGATTGGCTCACGTCAGCGCCTCCGCACCTCAGACGCTGACAGCATCAACATCAAAGGCCGCACTCTCCACCTCTCAAAGCCATCAGGAACCTCGGGGTTCTGCTCGACCCTGAGCTGTCCTTTCTCCCTCATATCCGCACCACAACTGGCACCGCCTTCCATCACCTCCGGAACATCGCCAGACTACGGCACTACCTCACCCCTCACGCGGCTGAAACTCTGGTCCACACCTTTGTCACCTCAAGGCTGGACTATGGGAACTCTCTCCTCGCCGGCCTTCCCGGCCCTCCCTCCACACTGCAGGTCATTCAGAACTCTGCAGCTCGTGTACTGTCCCGCACCAGACACCGCGACCACATCACTCCCACCCTCACCCTCGCCCTCACCCTCACCCTCGCCCTCACCCTCACCCTCGCTCGCCTCCACTGGTTCCCCATCCCCCAGAGGATCCAATTCAAGATCCTCATCCTCACCTACAAGGCCATTCACGGCCTCGCTCCCTCCTACCTCTCCGACCTACTATCCCCCTACCTACCTGCCCGTACCCTCCATTCCTCTGGCTCCGGTCTGCTCAACATCCCCCGCTCCAACCGCCCTACCATCGGTGGCCGGGCCTTCAGCCTCTCAGCCCCGAGGCTCTGGAACTCCATCCCCCAGTGCCTTCGCCGCTTCCTCCCTTTCCTCCTTCAAGGCCGGTCTCAAGACCTTTCTCTTTGACCGTACCTTCAGCTCCCCTCTCGACTCTCTACCCACTCCTCGCTCCCTCCCTCTCTTCCCTCCCCTCACCCTGACCATTCCCCCACTGCTCGGGTCCTGACCCAACTGTACAGTGCCTTGGGACGTCCTCCCGACGTGAAAGGAGCTCAATAAATGGAATCTTGTTCTTGTCTTGTTGTAGTTCTCAGTTTATCCTTCTGCCCCTTTTTGTGCAGGGGAGTAACATTTGCAACCGTCCAGTCCTCTGGCACCACTCCAGTGTCCAAAGAGGATTGAAAGATTGTGGCCAGAGCCTCCACTATTTCCACCCTTGCTTCCCTCATAACCTAGAATGCCGCCCATCCAGACCAGGTGACTTATCTATGTTGAGCACCGACAGCCTTTTTAGTACTCCTCTGTTGATTTTTATGGTATCCAATTTCTGTTCAGACGCCTGTGATATTGTGCCATTGGCTGTATCGTCTTCTTTTGTGAAGACAGTTGCAAAGTACTTATTTAGTACATCAGCCAATGCCCTCTGCCTCAACAAGAAGATTTCCACTTGGGTCCCTAATTGGACCCACCCTACCTTTGACTAACCTTTCACTCTTGATATGCTTATAAAATACCTTACGGTTCCCTTTTATGTTTCCTGCTAATCTTTTCTCAAGACTTTACCAGACTGGACATAAACATAGACATAACACGGGCAGACACGGGGCAGATGAAGTTTAATGTGGAGAAATGCAAAGTGATGCATTTGGGGAGGAAGAATGGGGAGAGGCAATTTAAGCTGATGGTACAATCTTAAAGGGGGTGAAGGAACAGATAGACCTGGGGGCTCATATAGTAAATCTTTGAAGATGGCAGAACAGGCAGATAAAGCTGTTAAAAAGCATACAGGATACTACACTTTAAAAAAAGGGGCACAGAATACACAAGTCAGGAAATTATGATGAACAGAGGGAGTGAGAGACAACAGACAGAGAGACGGGTGCAGTGTATCTGAGGACACACATGCACACACAAGACAGAGGGAGTGAGGTTCAGTGTGTCTCAGGACACATACACGCACAGACAGAGGGAGGGGGTGCAGTGGGCATGAGGACACACGCACAGACAGAGGGAGGGGGTGCAGTGGGCATGAGGACACACGCACAGACAGAGGGAGGGGGTGCAGTGGGCATGAGGACACACGCACAGACAGAGGGAGGGGGTGCAGTGGGCATGAGGACACACGCACAGACAGAGGGAGGGGGTGCAGTGTGCATGAGGATACACAGACAGAGTTGGGATGCAGTGTGTACGAGGACACACACACACACACAAGGGGGTGCAGCGTGTGAGACAATCACTGACCTGTCTCCTGGTCCGTAGTGACTGCAGCAGTTAATCCCACCCCAGTGGAGCCACGGCCTGTGGTGGGGATGGCACGAGGTGCGCTAAACAGTACATAACGCAGCAACTGGGACTTAGCCACAGAGGGGTCACCTGGTGAGGGAGAGAGGGACAATTATTTAACACTAGTCACTTACACACAGCAATAGTCACTTCATAGAACCATAGAATTATACAGCACAGAAGGCCATTTGGTCCATCGTGTCTGTGTCAGCTCTTTGAAAAGAGCTTCCAAATCAACCCCTCTCTCTCCCCACAGCCCTGATCAACCCCACTCCCCCTCTCTCTCCCCACAGCCCTGATCAACCCCACTCCCCCTCTCTCTCCCCACAGCCCTGATCAACCCCACTCCCCCTCTCTCTCCCCACAGCCCTGATCAACCCCACTCCCCCTCTCTCTCCCCACAGCCCTGATCAACCCCACTCCCCCTCTCTCTCCCCACAGCCCTGATCAACCCCACTCCCCCTCTCTCTCCCCACAGCCCTGATCAACCCCACTCCCCCTCTCTCTCCCCACAGCCCTGATCAACCCCACTCCCCCTCTCTCTCCCCACAGCCCTGATCAACCCCACTCCCCTCTCTCTCCCCACAGCCCTGATCAACCCCACTCCCCCTCTCTCTCCCCACAGCCCTGATCAACCCCACTCCCCCTCTCTCTCCCCACAGCCCTGATCAACCCCACTCCCCCTCTCTCTCCCCACAGCCCTGATCAACCCCACTCCCCCTCTCTCTCCCCACAGCCCTGATCAACCCCAATCCCCCGCTCTCTCCCCATAGCCTGATCAACCCCACTCCCCCGCTATCTCCCCATAGCCCTGATCAACCCCACTCCCCCGCGCTCTCCCCATAGCCCTGGTCAACCCCACTCCCCCCATAGCTCTGTTCAACCCCACTCCCCCGCTCTCTCCCCATAGCCCTGATCAAGCCCACTCCCCCCATAGCCCTGATCAACCCCACTCCCCCGCTCTCTCCCCATAGCTTGATCAACCCCACTCCCCCGCTCTCTCCCCATAGCCCTGATCAACCCCACTCCCCCGCTCTCTCCCCATAGCCCTGATCAACCCCACTCCCCCGCGCTCTCCCCATAGCCCTGATCAACCCCACTCCCCCCGCGCTCTCCCCATAGCAAACTTGTCCTCCTCAAATAATTATCCACTTCTCTCTTAAAAGTTGTTATGGAATCGGCTTCCATCGGCCTTTCAGGCAATGATTCCAGATCCCAACAACTCTCTGTGTGAAAACATTTCCCCTCCCCTCCTCTGTTTCTTTTAACAACTGTTTTAAATCAGTGCCTTCGGGTTACCGACCCACCCGGCAGTGGAGATAGTTTCTCCTTGTTCACCCGATCGAATCCCCTCATAATTTTGAAAACTTCTATCAAGTCTTCTCTTAACCTTCTCTGCTCCAAGAAGAATAATCCTCGCTTTTCTCGCCTCTCCTGATAACTGAGGTCCCTCATTCCTGGCACCATCCTTGTCAATCTCCTCTGCTCGTCTGGCACCGGCTCCTGCTCATTCGTCGCAACCTCCACCCCACTATCGGAATTTGTTGAGTTCTGGAACACTCTCCCTTGGTTCCCCCTCTCTCAAGTCCCATCTGCAAACTTTCCTCTTCGAATGTGTTCATGGAAACTTCTCCCTCCCCCAGCTCGGAGTCATCTCCGCCATTGTTAAGCGCTCTGCATCTTTAGCCTGCATGGAGGGCGCTATATAAGTGCAAGTTGTTGTTGTTATACTCTTGCTGAGGCCTCACCAGTGTTTTATATAAAGCTTCATCGTGACTTCCTGACTTGTGTATTCTATGGCCCTAATTATAAAGCCTCGTGTCCGGATGCTTTTTTAACAGCTGTATCTCCCTGTCCGGCCCCCTTCAGAGATTTACTATATGACCCCCAGGTCTCTCTGTCCCTTCACCCCTTTAAGATTGTCCCATCAGCTTATATTCCTCTCCTCATTCCTCCTCCCAAAATGGATCACTTTGCATTTCTCCCCATTAAACTTCATCTGCCCCGTGTCTGCCCGTGTTACCAGTCTGTCTATGTCCTTTAGTCACTCCAAATAGTCACTTACACACGCAACCCTTTACACTACAATAGTGACTTACATAACATAACATGTAGGAGAAGGAGGAGGCCATTCGGCCCTTGGAGCCTTTGTCCCACCATTCAATGGCTGATCTTCTTATCTAACTCCAGCTAATAACCTGACCCTACCTTATCCCCATATCCCCCCAAACCCAGCCTCCTCCCCTCCCTGCCTTATCCCCATATCCCCCCCACCCCAGCCAGCCTCACCCTCTCCCCCAGCTTCCCCCCCCGCCTTATCCCCATATCCCCCCCACCCCAGCCAGCCTCCCCCTCCCCCCAGCCTCCCTCCCCCTGCCTTATCCCCATATCCCCCCCACCCCAGCCAGCCTCCCCCTCCCGCCTTATCCCCATATCCCCCCCTACCCCAGCCTCCCCCCTCTCCCCCAGCCTCCCCACCCCCTGCCTTATCCCCATATCCCCCCCCACCCCAGCCAGCCTCACCCTACCCCCCAGCCCTCCCCCCCCCCCCGCCTTATCCCCATATCCCTTAGTCCCTTTTGCAATAAGAAACCTATCAATCTCAGTCTTGAATATGTTCGAGGACTGAGCGTCAACAGCCCTTTGGGGTAGTGAGTTCCATACATTCACTGCCCTTTGAGTGAAGAAGTTCTTCCTCTACTCAGTGTGAAAGGGCTGCCTCTGATTTTAAGGTTGTGACCCCTGGTTTTAGTTTCTCCAACCGGGGAAACAATCTCCCACTATCTGCTCTATCATGCCCTTTGATGATCTTATAGGTTTCTATAACATCCCTCTAATTCTTCTATATTCTAGAGAATATAGCCCCAAATTGGTCAGCCTCTCCTCGTAACTCATCCCCTCCATCCCTGGCACTAACCCAGTAAATCTACGCTGCACCCCCTCCAAGGCAAGTACATCCTTCCTTAAATGGGGAGACCAAAACTGGACACAGTATTCCAGGTGTGGTCTCACCAGGGCCCTATACAGTGGCAGCAAGACTTCCCTACTCTTATACTCTAATCCTTTCATAATGAACGCTAACATACCGTTCGCCTTCCTAATCGCTGCCGCACCTGCAGACTAACTTTCTGTGATTGTGTACAAGGACACCCAAGTCCCTCTGGACGCTGACACATTCCAATCTCTCCCCTTCTAAACAATAACCCGCTCTACTGTTTTTGCTCCGGAGGTGGATGACTTCTCACTTCCCTACATTATACTTCATGTCCCACCTACCTGCCCAATCACCTAACCTATCTATGTCGCGCTGCATTTTTTTAATGTCGTCCTCTGTGTTGGCACTTCCTCTTAGTTTTGTGTCATCCGCAAATTTAGATATATTAACTTTGATGTCCTCATCAAGATCGTTGATATAGATGGTAAATAGCTGAGGCCCAAGGACTGATCCTTGTGGCACTCCAGTAGTCACATCCCGCCAATCTGAAAAGGACCCGTTTATCCCTACTCTTTGTTTCCCACCCGTTAACCATTCCCCAATCCACGTTAATATGTTCCCCCCAATTCCATGGGCCCTTATCTTTTGGACTAACCTTTTATGCGGCACCTTATCGAATGCCTTCTGGAAGTCCAAATAGACCACAACAATGATTCACCCTTATCGAGTTTACTGGAAATATCCTCAAAAAACTCTGAGATTTGTCAAACATGACCTCCCTTTTGTAAAGCCATGTTGACTTGGCCTAATTATATTGTGCCCTAAATACCGCACTACCACATCCTTAATCAATGATTCTAACATTTTTCCTATCACTGATGTGAGACTAATTGGCTTATAGTTCCCCATCTTTTCCTTTCCACCTTTTTAAAATAGTAGTGTGACATTTGCGATCTTCCAATTCATGTTTACACTGTAAACACACTCAACACGCCTTCACACTGCAGCACTGGCTTACACACATGCAGATACACACACTCACACACACACGCCTTCACACTGCAGCACTGACCTACACAGCCACACTCCCACATTCACACACAAGGGAGTGCACTCCCCCACACACGCACCCACCCTTAATACAACAGTCACTCAGGTTTCTAACAGGCATCAAAGTTTCCGTCTCTGATAATAATAATCCTTGCATTTGATATAGTGCCATATCAGGTCTTCCACGACGTCTCAAAGTGCTCCACAGGATACAATGTAATATCAATAGACTCCAGGGGAGGGGAGATAAGGGGGAAGCTGTGTGTGAGGGGAGGGGAGATAAGGGGGAAGCTGTGTGTGAGGGGAGGGGAGATACGGGGGAAGCTGTGTGTGAGGGGAGGGGAGATACGGGGGAAGCTGTGTGTGAGGGGAGGGGAGATACGGGGGAAGCTGTGTGTGAGGGGAGGGGAGATACGGGGGAAACTCACCCATTAAGAGGATGTTGATGTCCCCACGAATGCGACTGCCATTGTCTAACAGCTTCTCTGTGCCCCCGAGCAGCAGGCACAGGATGGCTTGCTTGATATACTGGTGGCCATGGATACTGGGGGCCAAGGACCGGGCCAACTGCTCAAAGATGTCCTGCACCAGGGAGGAACCCACGTTACAGTAGCAACTTGTTTATACAGCGCCCGGCAGGCAAGGGGGTGTCTGAGAGCTTTAATACACATCCCTCCTTGTTACCCCTTCACCACTCCCTCTCCCATCGTGTTCCGCCTTTACACCTCTCCCCCACCGTGTTCCCCCTTTAACTCCCCCTCCCTCATCGTGTTCCCCCTTTATACTCCCCCTCCCCCACCGTGTTCCACACTTTACCCAACATCAAACCCCACCTCTATGAACGTCTCCCACCCCCCTTCCCCAGCTGGTGTCCCACCTCCTGGCAGTGAAGCCCGAGACGTTGTCCTACACGAGGACATTGTATTGAGATGAATTGATTGTTGTTGAGGAGCAGTGGCGTGCGGCTCAGCAGAGGGGAGGCTCCAGCCCACACTCACCTTAGACCGTGATTTGCTGAATTTCTTGATTTGGGCCACATCGTCTGCGGAGAACATGGGGGCCACTTCCTTACTGAGCAGCTTCACATTACACCCCAACACGATGGTCCTGGGGAAACACAGGCTAACTTACTGACAGCCTCACATCACATCACACCCCAACACCATGGTCCTGGGGAAAGGCAAGGCCACAAACAGCTGCTTAGGGAGACAAGCAGATGTGTCCTACACACAGTGTGAAGTGTGTTACCTGGAGAATGGGGCAGGACAGGGACAAACTGCCTAAGTGAATAGTGAAAGGGGACTTGAACATCCACCCGAACAGGACACAGACCAGACTTCAATTCAAGGTCTCACCCAAAGGACGCCCCTCCAACAATAAACACTTCCCCCACCCCCCAACACTATACTAGTTTGAGAACAGAAACTTGAAGCCCAGACGCCACAGCCTCTAACTGTGAGGTGAGAGAGTGAGTATTGTACCTGGCTGACACCTCATTATTGAACCAGTTCCTCTGGACAGGACCAAAGCTCTTTATAATAATACAATAAGAATCCTTACATTTGTTATCACATCTTCGAGACACCTCAAAGCGCTTCACAGTAAAGTGTAGTGACTATATATTTTGTGGGCAAAATATGGCAGCCAATTGCAAACATTAGTGTCCCACAGTCGTGGATTGAGTAACCAAATTATTACTTTTTAAAAAAATTATTAACCCGCCAATCGACTAACAAATGAATTGCTACTTACTGCTAGGTAAATAGAGGCGTGTGGAGTAAGGAAACTTATCTAAGGTTTCATACTGACCCGTCTGAGAATGTTGTGGCTTGCGAGGTGAATGCTGTAACCATTGAGCTACAGGATGGCAGTGTGTAATGAGAACTCACCACTGAGCTTCAGGTAGTGTGTTTGTGTGTATAATGCAGATCTCACTGAGCTACAGGAAGTGTGTGTGTGTGTAATGAGGATCTCACTGAGCTACAGGCAGTGTGTGTGTGTAATGAGGATCTCACTGAGCTACAGGCAGTGTGTGTGTAATGAAGATCTCACTGAGCTACAGGCAGTGTGTGTGTGTGTAATGAAGATCTCACTGAGCTACAGGCAGTGTGTGTGTGTGTAATGAGGATCTCACTGAGCTACAGGCAGTGTGTGTGTGTAATGAGGATCTCACTGAGCTACAGGCAGTGTGTGTGTAATGAGGATCTCACTGAGCTACAGGCAGTGTGTGTGTGTGTAATGAAGATCTCACTGAGCTACAGGCAGTGTGTGTGTGTGTAATGAAGATCTCACTGAGCTACAGGCAGTGTGTGTGTGTGTGTGTAATGAGGATCTCACTGAGCTACAGGCAGTGTGTGTGTGTGTAATGAGGATCTCACTGAGCTACAGGCAGTGTGTGTGTGTGTAATGAGGATCTCACTGAGCTACAGGCAGTGTGTGTGAGTGTGTGTAATGACGACCTCAGGAGGGAAGCTACGCACAGACAGTGACCACAATGAGCTGAGCTGAGAGGAAAGGTACCTGAAAGTGCCCGAGGTGTAACCATTCTTTTTGCCGGGCAAACACCGGTAGCTGCCGATCACCTGCACCCTGTCGCCAGGCTTCACCGCGTCCACAAGGTCATCATCCAGAATGATGTCCACCGAGCGGGGCAGCTGGCCGGCAGGAGCCTTCTCAGGCATCTCCTGCATGGTGATGGTCTGGTGATCTTTGTACGTGGACAAGCCAAACTCCGTCTCCAATGGGTTATTCTCCTCATCCTGCCCACACAAGCAAATAATAATACCTGCATTTCACATAGCGACTTTGGGACGTCTCAAAGCACTTCAACAATATATTCACACAATCTACTGGTAGCTGCCGATCACTGTACCCTGTCACCAGGCTTCACCGTATCCACCCCCATCCTCACCCGACTCCACCACTGGCTTCCCCTCACAGAGGATACAGTTCAAGATCCTGGTCCTCATCTTCAAAGCCCTCCATGGTCTTGCTCCCCCCTACCTCTGCCACCTCCTCATTCCCTACCATCCTGCTCGCTCCCTTCGCTCAGTGGGCTCCGGCCTGCTTCACGTTCCCCGACTCGCTCGTCCCACCATTGGTCACTCTGCCCCCACCTATGGAACTCCATCCCGCAGTCCCTTTGCTTTGCCCCCTCCTTTGCTTCCTTCCAGACCCATCTCAAGACCCTCCTCTTCGACTGTGCTTTCAATCATCCTCCATCCCCCCTTGCCCTCACTCTCCCCGATCCTGACCCCCAGCTCGGGTGCGAAACACTGACTGTCCAGCACCTTGGGACATCCTCCTGACGTAAAAGGGGCTTTAAACATGTAATTTTGTCGTTGTTTTTGTATACTGTAAGCTATATTGACTGTATATTTTGTGGGAGAAACGTAGCAGCCAATTGCGCACAGCAGTGTCCCACAGTGTCGCATCCGGGTCCTCTCACTTGTAAAGCAAGTGCTCTAACCACTGAGCTAAGAACTTACCCTGGTGGATACATGGAGGAGGTTAGGGTGGGATAGGTGGAGGAGGTCAGGATGGGGTAGGCAGAGGGTTCAGGGTGGGATAGGTGGAGGAGATCAGGGTGGGGTAGGTGGAGGAGGTCAGGGTGGGGTAGGCGGAGGAGGTCAGGATGGGGTAGGTGGAGGAGGTCAGGGTGGGGTAGGTGGAGGGTGCAGCGTGGGGTAGGTGGAGGGTTCAGGGTGAGATGGCGGAGGAGGTCAGGGTGGGGTAGGTGGAGGGTTCAGGGTGGGATGGCGGAGGAGGTCAGGGTGGGATGGCGGAGGAGGTCAGGGTGGGGTAGGTGGAGGGTTCAGGGTGGGGTAGGCGGAGGAGGTCAGGGTGGGGTAAGTGGAGGAGGTCAGGGTGGGGTAGGTGGAAGGTTCAGGGAGGGGTAGGTGGAGGGGGTCAGGGTGGGGTAGATCGAGGAGAGGTTATGCTGGGGTAGATAGAGGAGGTCAGGGCTTACCTTGATGGGGTAGATTGCCGTGGAGGGAAAAGCTTGGAGTGAGGTCAGGTCAGTGTATCTCCGCTCAATGCTTTTCTTGGTGGCGGGGCAGTAATGGACGCTACGCACGACTTTAGGCCGCACCAGAGAGCCTGAAACACAGAGCGACAAAGGCTTCATTTCACACCATAATCATTCTCCTCGCATTTCATTTCTACATTCTCCCCCTCGGTGACACCATCCGCAGACATGGGGTCAACTTCCACATGTATGTGGATGGCACCAACTCTACCTTTCTGCCCCCACCCTCAACTCCAGACCCACTGCTGTTGAATGTGAACAAGACTGAGGCCCTCCTGATTGGCTCGCGCCAGTGCCTCCGCACCTCAGGCTCTGGGAGCATCACCCTCCATGGTGTACACTACAACTCACCGCCAGTCAGGAACCAAGGTGTCTTGTTCAAACCTCAACCATCTTTTCTCCCCCACATTCAAGCCATGACCCGCTCTGCCTTCCCTCACCTTCGTAACATCGCCCGATTCCGCCACTACCTCACCCCTCAGGCCGTGAAACTCTTGTTGAAGCCTTCATCACCTCCAGGCTCGACTGTGCAAAGCCCTGTGTGTCGGCCTTCCCAACTCCTCCCTCCACAGCTGCAGATAGTCCAGAACTCTGGATCCGTGTCCTCTCCTGCACCAAACTCCGTGACCCCATCTCCCCCACTCTCGCCCTACTCCATTGGCTCCCTATCCTTCAGGGGATCCAGTTCAAGATCCTGGTCCTCACATACAAAGCCCTCCAAGGCCTCGCCCCACCCTACCTCTGCCACCTCCTAACCCCCTACCAACCCGCCCGCTCCCTCCCCTCAGCCGCTCTGGCTGCTCCACGTCCCCCGACCCACCCGCCCCACCATTGGTGGGAGAGCCTTTAGCCACTCTGCCCCAACCTCTGGAACTCCATCCCCAGTCACTCCGCCTCACCCCCTCCTTAGCCTCCTTCAAGTCCCACCTCAAGACCCTCCTCTTCGACCATGTCATCGGGCACCCCCCTTCTCCTCCCCTCCCTTACCCCCCCAACCCCAGCTCGGGTCTGAAATGCCCGGAGTTACGATTAAAATGAAACAGAAAAATGAGACTTATGACAAATGTCAGGTCCAAAACACACAGAATAGTCAAATAGAATATAGGAAGTACAGAGGAGAAATGAAAAGGGATTGTATGAGAAAAGATTAACAAGAAACATAAAAGGGAACCTAAGGTATTTTATAAGCACATCAAGAGTAAAAGGTTAGTCAAAAGTGAGGTGGGTCCAATTAGGGACCCAAGTGGAAATCTTCTTGTTGAGGCAGAGGACAGGGCTCATGTACTAAATAAGTACTTTGCAACTGTCTTCACAAAAGAAGACGATACACCAATGCACAATATCCAGGCGTTGAACAGAAATTGGATACCATAAAAATCAACAGAGGAGTACTAAAAAGGCTGTCGGTGCTCAACATAGATAAGTCACCTGGTCTGGATGGGCGCATCTAGGTTACTGAGGTAAGCAAGGGTGGAAATAGTGGATGCTCTGGCCACAATCTTTCAATCCTCTTTGGACACTGGAGTGGTGCCAGAGGACTGGACGGTTGCAAATGTTACTCCCCTGTACAAAAAGGGGCAGAAGGATAAACTGAGAACTACAGCCTAACATCAGTAGCAGGGAAACTTCTGGAGACTGTAATCCGGGACAATATAAATTCTCACTTAGAAAAATATGGTTTAATAAAGGACAGTCAACATGGATTTGTTAAAGACAGATCATGTCTGACAAACCTAATAGAATGTTTTGATGAAGTGACTGAGAGGTGGATGAAGGTAGTGCAGTAGATGTAGTTTATCTAGATTTTCAAAAGGCATTTGACAAAGTGCCACATAGGAGACTTAGAAACAAAATATAAGCCCACGGTATTAAAGGGACTGTGGCAACATGGATCCAGAACTGGCTTGGAGACAGAAAGCAGAGAGTAAACAATTGTTTTCTGACTGGAGGGAGGTTTGTAGTGGTGTCCCTCAGGGGTCGGTATTGGGACCACTGATCTATATTAACTCATAGATTCATAGAATGTTAGGGCACAGAAGGAGGCCATTCGGCCATTCGAGTCTGTGCGGCTCTTTGACAGAGCGTCACTTTCGCGAACCCCAATCACCAGCTTTCTCCCCATAACCCCACAAACCCGTCTTCCCCCGATACCTATCCAGTTCTCTATTATTATTATTATTAAAAGCTGTTATCGAATCAGACTTCACTGCCCTTTCACGCAGATTATTCCAAATTCCAACAACTCGCTGAGTGAAAACATTTCTTCTAGCCTCCCTTCTGCTTCTTTTGGTCAGGACCTGGATATACGGAGCACAATTTCCAAATTTGCAGACGATACTAAGCTAGGAAAAGTAGTTCATGGTGAGGAGGACAGCACTAGCCTCCAAGACAACTTAGACAGATTGGTAAAATGGGCAGAAACATGGCAGGTGAGGTTTCATGTGGAGAAATGCAAAGTGTTGCGTTTTGGTAGGAAGAATGAGGAGAGGCAATATAAGCTGATGGTACAATCTTAAAGGGGACAAATGAACAGAGAGACCTGGGGGTCCACATCAGCAAATCTCTGAAGGTGGCCGGACAGGTAGATAATGCTGTAAAAAAGCATCCGGGATACTCGGCTTTATACATAGGGGCATAGAATACACAAGTCAGGACGTTATGTTGAATATTTATAAAATGCTGATTAGGCCTCAGTTGGAGACTGCGTTCAGTTCTGGGCACCGCACTTTAGGAAAGATGTTAGGGCATTGGAGAGGGCGCACAGGAGGTTTATCAGGATGGTACCAAGAATGAAGGACCTTAGTCATGAGGAGAGGTTAGCAAAACTAGGATTATTTCCCTGGAGCAGAGAAGATTAAGAGGGCCTTTAATAGAGGTTTTCAAGATCATTAGAGGATTTGATAGGTTGAACCGGGAAAAACTTCCACTGGCAGGTGGGTCAGTAACCCGAGGACACTGATTTAAGATAGTTGTTAAAAGAAACAGAGGGGAGGTTAGGAGAAATGTTTTCTCCAGTGAGTTGTTGGGATCTGGAATGCATTACCTGAAGGGGTAGTGGAAGCCGATTCAATAACAACTTTAAGAGAGACGTAGATGGGTATTTTGGAGGACAGGATTGCAGGGCTATGGAGAGAAAGCGGGCCAGTGGGACTGAGCTGGAAGCTCTTTGAGGAACCGGCACAGACACAATGGGCCAAATGGCCTCTTTCTGTGCTGAATGATTCTATGAATATGGGTTCATGAAGGGGAGGTCTTGCCAATCTAATTTACTGTTTTTCTTTGACCGTGTGACAAGGGAGCTTGATAAGGATAAGGCTGTGGATGTTGTATATGTAAGGCCTTTGATACAGTTCCTATTGAGAGGCTGGTACTGAAAGTAAAGAAAGCAGAAATCAGTGGAGGTATATTACCATGGATACGCAATTGGTTGCCCGGAAAAATCCAAGAGGGTGGTGGTATAGGGAATGTCATCAGACCAGGAAAATGTTATCTGTGGAGTTCCACAAGAGTCTGTTATGGGACCTCTTTTGTTTAATATTTTTATATATGATCTGGAAGTAGGAGTAGCAAGTACGGTGGCTAGGTTTGCAGATGACACCAAGCTAATGAAGATGGTACATTGCGAAGCTGAACAAGATAGGTTACAGGAGGATTTAGGAATTGGGCAGATTGGTGGCAGATAAAATTCAATGTGGAGAAATGTAAAGTACTTCACATGAAGACAAAAAATCCTTTAAGAGACAATTATTTGAATGGAAGGAAAATAATATGCATGGAAAATGAAAAGGACCTGGGACCTGATTGACAATAAATTGAAGCTCTCACAACAATGCTCTGTGGCAGTGAGTAAAGCAAACCAGATGTTGGGATGTGTCAAAAGATCAATGTTGGGATGTATCAAAAGAGCAAGCTGTAATATTGGGGTAATCCGGCCACTGTATAAATCATTGGTGAGACCATACTTAAATATTGTGTACAGCTCTGGTTGCCGCAGTACAAAAAGGTTATTGTAAAAATCAAGCAAATACAGAGGACGGCAATCAAAATGATTGAGGGAATGGAAGGACTGGACTATGAGGAGCGACTCAGTAAATTGGGCATGTTCACGCTGGAAAAGAGAAGATTGAGAGGCGACATGATTGCTGTCTTTAAGGTTCTAAAGGGGCAAAACACTATAGATCATGACAGGCTGTTTCAACTTGTCCAGAATAGTAAAACCAGAGGCCACCGCCTGCAATTGAAGGGGGGAAACTCAGAATAAATCTACGCAAGAGATTTCAGTGAGCGAAGAGTGAACTTATGGAACAGGCTAGGGAGATGGTTGAAGGAGGAAATGTGGATTCTTGTTACCTGCTCTGACAGATTCCCACACAGTCCTGGCACCAGCCCCTCACTCTCCCATTCACTCGCAGTCCGTGTGTTTATTATCATGAATAATCCAAATACTCCACTCCCTTCGAATCCCCCGTGGTATCCCACCACCTACACTCAGAGATTGTGTAGATCTGCCGTGAGCCGAGGACAATCCTCTCAGGTACTTAAGGACCCTTTGTGTGTGTGTAGGAAGTACCCCCGGCAGCTTGAGCTGGAGCTCAGGGTCACTGAGCTTGAGGAGGGACTACAGTCACTACATAGGATATGGGATGCCAAAGAATTTATGGAACTTTTCAGGAGGTGGTCACCCCACAGCCACAGAGAGTTCAGGGGGTGGTCACCCCACAACCATAGGGAGTTCAGGGGGTGGTCACCCCACAGCCACAGAGGGTTCAGGGAGTGGTCACCCCACAGCCACAGAGAGTTCAGGGGGTGGTCACCCCACAGCCACAGAGAGTTCAGGGGGTGGTCACCCCACAGCCACAGAGAGTTCAGGGGGTGGTCACCCCACAGCCACAGAGAGTCAGGGGGTGGTCAACCCACAGCCACAGGGAGTTCAGGGGGTGGTCACCCCACAGCCACAGGGAGTTCAGGGGGTGGTCACCTCACAGCCACAGGGAGTTCAGGGGGTGGTCAACCCACAGCCACAGGGAGTTCAGGGGGTGGTCACCCCACAGCCACAGGGAGTTCAGGGGGTGGTCA